AAAAAAGGATGGTAACCCCTGCTCTCTAGCTCTCTCATTTCTCTCCAAGCTCTCTGTAATCAGAATGCTAACTTAGGCATCGGAGAGTCTCCGCCGAGAAAATACCCCCGGGTCCTCTGATTCAATTCTCGCAGGTCCCTCAGCACCCGCCGCCTACAAAGGAGAGGAAACCACCTCATGCAGAGGGTAGTCGAGTTGCGCTGCACCAGGGAGCTCCACCATCCTCTGAGTTGCAGGCCGCCTAGGAGTAGGTCAAATGACAAGTCCACCAGGCAGTTCGCCACCAGGGAGTTCGCCACCAGGCAGCTCGCCACCGGGCAGTTCTCCACCAGGGAGTTTGCCACCAAGCAGTTTGTCACCAAGTAGCTCTCCACCAGGGAGCTCGCCACCAGGCAGTTCTCCTCCAGGGAGTTCGCCACCAAGTAGCTCATCACCAAGGCACGTCACCACCGGGTCAGATAACGAGGTACTTAGCCAAAAAAATCAATACATCAAAAAAAATGGTACGTGACCAAAAACGGTTACATCATATGTCAACCACATAAAAAAAATGTGAAATAGGAACAAAGCATCTTAAATCATATTATATTTGAAAAGATAAACTTAAACGGATGGTTAGAAAAGACGGTGGTTGTTACATAAATTCTCAAATATTTTTTTTTAATTAATTATTTCTTCCACCATTCCTCGATCGGATCCCTCTTAATTTATCCAGACCACTACTTTTAAAGCACTACTGCTCGTGTGGGGTGTGGGAGAAGATAGCATCATACAATTGAAAATTGTAAATGGGGTGACCCAAGCAATTTGGAAACAAGAATTTTGCGCACCCAACCCAAATGGTCTTTGCTTTCTTCAGAGAGAAACAAAAAGGGTACATTGTAATGATTTTAGGGAAAAGTACTTTGCAATTTTGACCTATTTACAGTATCTAATATATTATTATTGCTTTGTTTTGACAGAAAGAACAAAATATCAATTGCTCTACTTATTAGGGCAAGCCCCGGGTTTGTGAGTTCTGATTTAATTCAAGGTTTTTAAAATTGATTCGGACAACAAACCAATCAGGGGTCTGGTTTCTCAGGTTGAACGGTCTGACCGTTCGAATTGAATAAATAGTCTATTTTAACAAAAAAATAAAAACAGACCAAACCGTTGAATGGTTCAAACAATTCAACCACCTGGGTCAGTGATTTGTTAATCAAATCAACGGTTTTGAGGTAAAACGGAACTAATCACCTGACCGGTTCCCAGTTTTCCAGTTCAACCATTCGATCTGGTTCGGTTTTGGAAACCATATTCTAATTAATGAGCTTTATGTGCGTTTTCAGGAGACAGAAGTTTGGTTTAAAGTCAAAGATGATTAAGAAAAGAGTTCATCTTTTTTATTCCTCTATATTCTTGGCTGTTGAAAATTGACTGGAATATTAAGTGCAAAAGAATTTTGTATTCTTGATTTAAAAGACTGCTAACTTCAAATTATAGTCCAATTGCAACTTTTTAATGGTCAGATCGTATCAGTTTTGACAATCCACCAGTCCACGACTTCTATAGCATCCCACCACCATTCACCCTGACTTATTTGCTTAAAAAGCTAAACGTTTTTCTTTCTTTTCCTCCTTCTGTCGGCAACACAAAAGGAATTGACTTAATAGGATTTATGGTTTAAGTTTAACAACTACGCAAAGGAAGACAAGAATAATGCAATATAAAGAGGGAGAGGGAGAGGGGTAAAAAAAAATAAGAGGGTACTGAGAAACCAAAAACGTACAAATGAATCCAAAGACATGTCTCCCTCCTAGCTTTTGCAATTACACCATCACCTCTGAATCTCTAATGATGAAATTTCTATCTTTTAATTTCATCCCTAACCTTCTACTGGTCATTACTCATTAGTGGGAGACACATTAAAGCGTTGGATTCTATTGTTTAATGATCATGTTGGTTGCAGATTGTAGCAGTTAGATAATTGGGACGCTTGTTTTGAGACTTTAGAGAACAGCTAGCTAGATGAGGTTGGTTGCAAGTAGATTTGAAGTGTTGTGTTTAAGATATCAATTCATATATTTTCATTAAATTTTATATTTACGTTATTTTTTCACTGTTTTCAAAACCGGACTGGATCAGACGGTCGGACTGGAAAAACCGGGAACCGATCACCTGATCGGTTCTGTTTTTCTCCAAAATCGCTTTTTCCCTCAAAACCGTTGATTTTGGTCAGTAAACTGCTGAACCGGCTGATTAATCGTTCGAATCGTTTTGACTGTTTTTCAATTTTTTAATTTTTTTAAAAACCGGTAACCGGTCCCCTGACCGGTTCGTTTTTAAAAACCATGATTTTTTTCTCATCAGCAAATTCTATTAATCAGACCTAAATTCAATACTTTTAATAATATAAAAACCATATTCATTAAAACCTACCCAAGAACAAAATTATTCTTCCATTCATGTGGTGTGGTGGGTAAGAAAAATCAATCATCCATCACCATGATATTATCGTTAAATAATATAAAAATTTAAATAAAAATAATTAAAAAAATAAAAAACCAAATAATCTGAAGAAGAAAGATTTTATTTGAGAGTGTGAGCAAATAGACACTCTTGGGTTGACTCAAAAAAACTTTACAGTGGAAAAAGTATAACAAAGTTTTTTGAATGGACGAAATCGATGGTATCTATAAAATAATATTCATATTCATAAGCAAGAAAAATAGCTTTCTTCGAAAAAATCAACCCTGATGTTACAGTTGTTTTTTGTTTCGAAAAACAAACCTTTCACATTGACAAATTAACATCCCCCTTAGAATGTTATACACCGAATGAAGGATTTAAATTCTTTTCAGCCATTTTCAATTGTTACGTGTCTATATCCAATCCCTTTTTTTAAAAGCCGATGGAATGATATTAACATATCCCAACAATTATCTAATAATAATGGGGTGTGTTGGATATCACACATGATGATTTGAACACATCAAGGTCTCATGGAATTGTAACAATCAACTCCCTTTCATGTCAGATGATTCAAACACTCATGAACCATCATCATCTTATCTGTTAATGACTTGAACACTTTCAGTCCTTCTAGGATTAGATTTTCAAGAGACAAAATGTTCTGATGGATTAGATCCTCAAGAGACGAGACATGAATTTAAGGGAGAGAAGCTTTGCAATAAGAATAAAGAAAAGAGAAGGGAGGAATAAAAAAGAAAAAAAAAAGTTGGCCTAATGAGATTTGTTTAGTTTTTGATACACACTGAAGAATAAGAAAAGAAATGGAGAAAAAACAATAAGAATAAGAAGAAGAGAATTTTTTTTTTTTTTAAAAATCATATATTTTCTTTCTTTTTTTTTTAATATTGTTTTAACAGGCTTAAGTGATATATTTGGTAAAGTAAAGCGAGTTCCTTTTAAGTGGTACGATGTGCTTCATTCTTATCCTAAATCCTTTTAAAGAGAAAAAGGGAGTGATTCTTCATAGTCATATTATTAGGTACATTCACATTTTGACTCAATGCATGTTATCATGTGGGAATCACATGAACGAACCTCGGGCCTACTTGTCATAATAGCCCAACCTTACCATTTACCAGCCCAATTTATTATCTGCTGGTGTGAGTGGTGGACACTTGGGCTTGGTCACTGGAAAACACGAAATAAATCTCTCATAATACTTTTTCCTTTTATAATAACAATATTGTTGTATAAATTATGCTAGCTCCAATGGTTAATTTTGAACCGGAACTTTGATCTTTTGGTGGTTTTTGTTTACTATCGGAACTGAGTCAGTTATCACAAGTTCAGAACAATATAAATAAAAAGGAGCAAGTCAGTTGAGATGATGTAGGAAAACAGAAGAAGACTATTCCAATCTGTAAAATGTTAGTTTACACTGTCTTAGGGGTGCTCAATACCCCAATATCACACTATATGAGAAGGTTATATATATATATATATACAAACCAGGTTGGTTCAGGTACCTTAACTCTCTCAAGTCTCTGATTCACAACAAGACACTTGACCCAGATATAATATCTGAATAACAAGAATTACACGACCCAATCTCAATCAATTAACTCATTCGAGGTATCTTTATTTTTGTTATTTGATGCATGATGGATAAGATGCTCTCTGGAGTATATGAGAGAACATTTAAAAAATTGTCAAAATAAAATTAGAAGATATTTCAGATATATTTTTTTTTTAAAACAATACGTGGCTAGTTCCATTTCTCGGAGCACCACATGCAGCTGGAGATAAGGAGGATGCAGGAATCTGGCGACTATAGATTAGATCGCTCCCTAGTATTGATGTATTATGACATACCACGTCCACGTGGCTACATTATTTGTTCTTTTTGTACAGGTGGAGCAACGGACAGTGACTTGTTACCTTGTTGGAAGGCTTCTAAATACATTTTTTTCTTTCTTTCTTTCTTGTGTTAATATAAATATTGATGCACTGGGCCTGCCCATTAGGCCCGTTACGAGTTATAAAAAAATAATAATAATAAAGAGAATTATAAACAGAGGAGTCCACTAACAAAAGAGAGTAATAACTAATGAGAGAGGGTCCCTCCCCACTCTCTCTGCTTCTGTTGCTTGCTGCTACGAGTGGAGCTTTACGCAATGCCATTACCGTAACGAGGACACATCACAAAAAAGTTTCCCCTTTTTTGATTCTCTGCCTCTGGTTACCAACTTCTCCTCCACCACCACTTATGGGAATCAAAACCCCAATCCCTTTTCACATTTTGGAACCCTAATCAGAATCCGATTTCTCTCCCAATCCCCTCATTTTCTCTTGAAACAAAAGGATCAGAGTTCAGAGGCAATCTGGAAGGGAGAAAGATAACCAAACAAGCGAAAAAACAAGTACTTCAAGTATTTACATTCCTTTTCTGAGGTTTATCCCTTCTTTTTATTCTTTGTCTTCGACAAAGGGAAGGAAAAAGAGGAAAGTATAATTATTGAACTTGGTTGTCCCCCCTTCCCGTTCGTTTATTCGAATTTGATTATCTTTAAAAACTAGAATGAACTTTCCAAAGTTCGAATTCTTCCAGGTTTTTGGTTTTCCTGTTCATCTCTAAGACCAGAACAATGTCCTAAACATTCACCTCTTCACCTTCTTCACTATATGGATTCAATTTTGTTTCTCTAGGAAACATAAAGGAACTTCGATTTCTTCCGAGTTTAGGTTTTGAATATTTTTCAAGTTTTTCTTCCTTTTTAATTTGTTAGTTGCTTAAGGAGAGGGAGAAAACAGAACGACTATACAAAAAACAATGGGAAATTTTGGAAGCAGCAGTGGAGGTAGTGGCAGGCGAAGACACGGGAATCATCACAACCACCCACCACCTCCTCCTCCTCCCCAACCTCCTCAGCCTGAAATCACCGGAAACCGCTATGTTTTCGCCGCTGCTACTCCTTACCCTCCACAATACCCCACCCCCAACCCCGCTCAATACTATCACCACCCCGGATTTTATCCGCCACCCCCACCCTCGATGCCGATCCCTTTGCCTGCTCCATATGATCACCACCACCGTGGCGGCGGAGCCGGCTCCCATGCCGATCCCGTTAATGCAAACTGGGTCACCGGACGCCATCCTTATGGGACTGCTCCGCCTCCTGCTCCCTATGTTGAGCACCAGAAGGCCGTTACAATTCGTAATGATGTCAATCTCAAGAAGGAGACTCTGAGAGTTGAGCCGGACGAGGAAAATCCTGGGCGGTTCCTCGTAGCTTTCACCTTTGACGCAACTGTTGCGGGAAGGTATTTTGTTGTTCGAATTTCTCCAATTTCCGTAGAATTACGTACTTTCCGTTTTCTTTTATTTTTATTGCAACAATGCTTCTGTGGTTACTCTCATAGGTCATTAAATTTTACAGGTTTCGATTTACTGAAGTGCTAGATTTTGTTGATGGTAGCATGCTGGCGATGTTGTTATAGTTTAAATTTATTGAGTTTTCTATATTGCTTCATTTGTTTCTTCCTAATCGATGGACTTATTTTTGTTTCTCTGAAGAGCCTATGACTTGGTAACGTCAACTATAAATTACTATTAAGAAAGTTATTGATCATGAGGCGGTTGTGTCTTTGGTCTGGCTTAGTTCATTGATTTTTTAGAATTCATGCAAGTGTTTTGGCAACTTCTCGACATTTTGGAGAGGGTCTTGTTGTTCCATTTGCTATTGTGTTGTCTCATTATTTCTTTCTTTTCTTTCTTTTTTCTGTGACCTTCCCCCCTTCTCTTTTTTGGGTTCCTTGCTTTTTTTTTTTGTATTTTTTGCAAGTATTTTGGATAATTGCTTGGTGTAGTGGTAAAATTTTGGAGATGAAAAGCATGGGTTCAAGTGTGAGTGCGGTCACTTTGTGCAAAAAATACCAAAGGTTAGGTCTTTATACCCCTTCCTCTACCTCTGATTGCCATGGATAATAGCCCTCGAATATGAGAACTGGTGGCATGACTTTATGCATAAACCTGTATTTCCAGCCCAGACACTTCATAACTGGTTATGGATTGCTTAAGTATGGGTTTGACAAACAAAGGTGAATAGTGGGAGGAGAGGGGGACACTAAAGGGATAATAAATTACAAGGGTTATAAGTTGAAGGGAAAAGTCTGAATGTCAACGGGCAGGTAATCTGTCAACTTTGGCTCTCTGTACCTACATTAATTGCCGCACCTGCTGTGGAAATAAAATTATCCGACCTTCAAGCTGTCAATGTTTTTTTTTTTTTTGGGTTATCCAATACTGTTATCAATTTATCATCATTCAAATATAACCAGTTTACAAAACCCATGTTTTTTATGTGCATCAATAGCACAACAGTCAATTAAGATTTCTAGAATGAATCTAATGTGTGTTCAAAAATCAAAACAAATGAAATTAAAGTAAGTCTATATGAAACCTCCAATGATTACTAAAAATGATAAAAGTAAACTGATACACTAGAAAGTGAGTGGAAGTTATTAAATTAGAAAAACTGTGGTTATATATAAATAACTGTATGAACATTTCTATAAATGTTATCAAATAGAATTACTTCTATGTTTTAATTTAACTAAGCAAAATCTAAATACTTGATGAAAAGTGATTTCTAAAATAGGTTTGGTAGTTAGGCCACCCAATTTGTATGTCCTTTTATTTTGGACGAAGGGGTATGATGTAGTGAACTGAAGGTTCATATACCCATAAAGTCTAGTGTTTGCACAAGTTCTCCTGGTGTTAAGTGTACTTCAATCATCTGTATACAAGTTTTGTGTCCTGTTTTCCTAATATGCATATCTCTGTTTACAAGGCTGTTGACATGTATTTTTCTAAATTTACATGTTTAAGTTGTAGATTTTAGATGGTTATTTCTGACCTGTTGAGTATTTGTGAAAGATATCCATGGGATTCCCGTTGGCTTTATCAGTTACACTTGAACGATAGATAGAAAGTCAGCTCATAGCCACCTGATTAGGTTCCAGATGGTGAATTGGCTGCTCATCTGGCTTGGACAACATATGTTTAAAAGACACGGAGAAATGAGTGTTTATCTGCCCAAAAGTAAACTAAAGTGCAGTAAGTACTAGAAAAAACTGCAAGGGGATAAGGGGTAACACCATCTCTAACTCCAAAAATTCACAATAGAAAAGGATGAGGAGCAGTATGAAGATTTCTAAATGTAGAAAGAAATCGCCGGCTGGTTTATCTTCCTTAATTAGTTTGTAACTGATGCTTTATATATTTAATATAATATTTAAAAAATTCCTTTTTGATGTTCAATTGACCATGATTTTGCCTGAAGAGATATGTTTGTTTGATTCTAATGGTATTATTTGTGGCAGTGAACACAAGCTCTGATGTATCAGAAATCGGAAATTGGGTCATGAAGTTGTCTTTCTTATTATGTGCTCCCATGGCAAAGCCATATTGATTTGGTTTACTTAGTCCATTCCTTTCTTAAATTAAGCCTTTTTGGGGCTCTGGTAGACTTTAGGAGGTCTATCCTATTCCTGGGAGGAATCCCTGATTATACTCTTAGATACATGGTTCGGGAAAAGCATGCAGTATAAACTGATGACAGAAACTGTCCACTTATTTCTCTTTCCCTTACCAGGGAAGCTATAGCAGGACCAACCAAGGATTATCTGCTTCTTGCTAGATATTTTTGTTTCTAGTTTCATAAATTATTTTCTTGAAAACTGAACGTCCAAAAATTAATGTTAATTTTGGATGTGCAATGAGCTTGTTCAAACAGCAGATGAAGCATGTAACCTGTTGGGCAAGCTTACTGGTCTAGGAAGAAGTGTTCCTTTGGTTTGTATTGTTGGATTTTTGCAGTATTTATTTTATCTATATAACTTATCCTCCTTCATTTCTTATTTTACATCTATGCCCATCTCAACCTCTACTAGCTAAACTCAATTCAATAAGATTTGGGGTTGGCTGCATGATCCTGCTATGCTGTTTGCGAATCTGGTTCTACATCTCTGGTGCTAGGACATGAGAACTTTTCATATTTGTATGCATTTTCTTTATTGTTTTTTTTTTCAACATTTACCTTCAGATGGGACCTTTGTTTGTGATGCAATCAGTGTTAAAGCAGGTAACATAACAAAATGAAAGCATATGTGACATGAGTAGAGACAAGCAAGAGGAAATACAGCTTTAAAATAACTTTGGTTGACTAGGTTGAGTAGTGTATTAGTTGCTGATTGACCTAGTTGATGCCTAGTCCCCCAGGTGATTGCATTATGGTTGTCAACTGACTAGTTAGTAATGCAGTTGGTATGGCCCTTGATTGACTGGTTGGCGAAGTGGGTAGATGCATATTTTAAATGATTACACTTTGTGTTTAGCACTTAACATGTTTCTTAGATGTACGTAGGTTTTAACAGTTCTTTTTTTTTTTCCTTTTTCTGCAAACAGCATCACTGTTGTATTCTTTGCAAAGGAAGGCACTGACTGTAACCTGACAACAATGAAGGGAAACCTTGAGCCAGTCACAGTATCTTTCCAACAAGGTCTAGGTCAGAAGTTCAGGCAACTTTCTGGAACTGGTATTGACTTCTCAATGTTTGAGGAGAATGAATTGATGAAAGAGGGTGATATAGAAGTATATCCCCTTGCTGTGAAGGCTGAAGCATCTCCAGCAGACCCAACTGGGGAGACAGGAAGCCCAGTACCAGGAACCACGAATTCTCAGATAACTCAAGCGGTATTTGAGAAGAAGGAGAAAGGTGAATACCAAGTGAGAGTAATCAAGCAAATTCTGTGGGTGAATGGAATGAGGTATGAGCTGCAAGAGATTTATGGTATTGGGAATTCGGTTGATGATCACTTCGATGGGAATGACCCAGGGAAAGAATGTGTTATCTGCTTGTCAGAACCTCGGGACACAACTGTCCTTCCCTGCCGACACATGGTAAATGCATTTATTTGGTTTCTGTTTACTGTTGGACTCAATGTTTTTTCCTCCAGGTTAGCAGTCAACCCATAAAAGCACCCTGGGTCTGGGTCAGTGAGTCAACCCATGATGTCATTATGACAAAACAGCCTAGGGAAAAATTCATGATACCAGAAAGACATGATACCGGAAGAGCTTTCACCAATAAAGCACCCTGTGAATTTTGATGAACACCTGTGGTCACCTCTTTAATGATACTGGTTATCATAATTGAACCAGAAAAATAAAATAACACAAAAAGGTAACCTGTTAAGTCAACAATTTTTATAACATGTTAGGTTAGAGGTTAGCCCAAACCGACTGGCCTAGTCAATGACGGAAACACTTGTTGGAACAAGGTGACCCCTTAACAGGATACCATATAGCAAGTAATATTTGTATGGAAAAAATTTTTAGTAGTTGGATCAATTCTAAGCTGTAAAAATACCAAGGAAAAGAATGCAGATCCGGTTAAATAAACTTGTCTTTGAAGGTATTGTAGGTGGCTATGTTGTCAGACTTGGACCAGACAGAAAAAACAGAAAGCTTACCTGGTCATAGTTTTACTGGTTAACCAGCCATTTAAATCATTTGGCTCATATGAATCGTCAAAAATCCAGGACACTGGAAGCTCACCAAACTACTGGTCCGGTCTGAGTCAGAGAACACTTCTGGGAGGAACCGTGGAATTATTAAGTCGTCCCTGAACCCACTTTAATGTGTCAAAGCTTGTGGCAACTGATGACCATCTAGCCTCCTGCCCTACTCATTCATATGGATCAAAGTAATGGTGGTCTGGACGTGAGGTCATGTCAAGTATCTGCATTATTATTTCTGTCCAAATTAAATGCATCTAAAATGTGTGTGTGTGTGATGCATCATACATGCATCTAAAATGATCAAGGGATTGGATGTTTGATCTGTTTTCAGTCAAAATCTTCCATACATGGAGCTAAGGATGTAGGTTGGGTTGGATTTGTTTGCAGTGCATGTGTAGCGGCTGTGCGAAGGTTCTGAGGCTCCAGACGTACCGATGTCCAATTTGCAGGCAACCAGTTGAAAGGCTCCTGGAGATCAAGGTCAACAACAGACCTGAAGATTGACTAGACAAAGTTATGCTGCAAGGTAAATAATAAAGTGTTGTGAAAACAAAAATTCTTTGTAGGTTACATTTGTCTTTTAACTTGTGTTTTTCTTTTCTTCAGTCATTCATTCCCCAGCTTCCAAGTAACTAGAAAGCATGTGTGATATGCCAAGCGGTTTTGTGCTGACTCCATGTGGAAATGGAATGCACCGCGTACCTTATGCTTCTTCTATACACAGGTAAGGGCAGGGTGACTGACTGGGTGAGGATGGCATTAGATCCAGGCTCCAGCTCTAAGCATGGATTTTTAAGGTGTGGGTGTAGCAAATATTTGATTGACAGCTTTTGTCAGCTTCAGCTAAAATATGAGCTTTCTCGAGCAAGAATTTTCTTTCCAAATGTTGAGGGTAGGAGACCTCTCATTCGTCGTGGAAAGTGGAAACTCCGAACATGATGCCCGCTCTAAGGAAAACCAGGTGTTACTGTTTTTGTGTTTTGCCCATATCTAACTCAAGCTTGCTGTATGTGTTTTTTTTTTGGGTCTTTTTAATTGTTTGTGAATGGGTTTGCTACAACTTTTACCACTGGCAGTGTTAAAGTGGGTTCTGCATCAGGTCTGTCATGTTCATATGTTAATTTTTGTATTTATTTGCGGTTTTTTTTTTCATATTTTTGGACCAGCTTCAGGTTGCATAAATCATAATCGTGTAGTTTTCCATGGACAAGCCTCCTGTGACTTGGCGTGGTGGCCCATTAAAAGTTTATTTATATTTGTCAGGTCGCTGAATTGCTAGTCCCTTGAATCCTTCTTTGAGGCACAGATGTCCTTTTTGTGCTAATGGATAAGATCATTTTACATTAAAATGTTCATAGTATGGACATCCATTATCATTTTACATTAAAAGGTCTAGTATGCAGGTCATAAAGACTGTAAGAAAGGGCTTCCTATATGATGGTTTGGATCAGATCAGTCAGAGTTCTTCCACCTGGGGTGTACTCCCTCGACCTGACTATTAAAAAATATTACATTTTTTTTCTTAAATCTAATATTTCAGCGTTTAACACTTTTAACATAGATATGAAATAATGTACAATAATTTTTATTAAAATAAATATGGCTTCAGTCAATAATATAATTAGCTATATTAGCCGCAGCAATAGGGGTGGAGACGAATTGAGCCTTTTTACGAGTTATTTGAGTTCAGTTGGTTAAAAGCTTGATTCTGCTGAGTTCAGTTGGTTAAAATTGAACTGAGCTTTGATCCGAACTCGAGTTCAATGATATATTTTTTTTTAATTCTTATTTTTTTCATATAAAATAAAAATCATTTTTTTTTATAGAAAGATTGGCTTTTGAGTTTGAGTGTACCAACTTTGAGCAAATTCGAGATCAAGTTAGAGCTCTACTATATACTATAGCAAGATGCTTATGTGACTTTGCTCCCTTTTTTTTCTAATTTTCTATCCAAATATTAACTTTTTTTCCTCCCCCGCTGGTGATCACGTCTCAGTTTCTTGGTTTTGTGGGCCCGGTCGATAGTTAATTTCCTATGGACTGTCTGTGATGGCTGCTGCAAGCCTAGCACCCTTGATTTATTAAAGCAGTGAATTATCTTCTAGCTACTTGGATGTCTGAATTACTTCCTTTCGCTGCCACATACACTACTAGAATGCCAGAAGCTTGTTCTGTAAACCCAGGGTGGTTTGTTCAGCTTCAAGGAAATTCCCAAGCATATTAAGCATCAGGTTGGCCATGCTGAAGCCGATCTAAGAAAAACAGGGTTGAGTTGGGTTAGGGTCATCCGGTTAAGTTGGAAAATATAAAATTGAGTTGGGTTAGGGTTGATGCCTCGGACTACATATTCACTACAAGCATCTGAATATTGTGGGCGATTTTTTTTTTCCTTCTCCATGAGGATATACAACGGGAGGGTTGGGGTAGCCCATCCCCAAAATCCATGACTCCCCAACCCTGGTGCAGGTGGAACTCAGTTCCCACGTCTCCACCACAACCAGCGGGAGACCTTACGGTCCTTACCAACTAGTCAATTGGCACCTTTGTTGGGGATTTGAACACCTATTTGAAAATAAAGCCCTTTAATTCTTTAACTTTTATATTAAGAAACTAACGTTTTGGATATCGATAATTGATTAGCAACCCCCTCCCCCCAATACAATGCTGGTATAAGTTTTTTTTTGGAAAGCCCGGTTTAAGGTTTGAAGACAAACTGCGGGATTGGACACGTCAAATTAAGATAGATGGTCTAGACTGGCCAGATGCATTTGCCGCAAGGCAGGAATGGTGGAGTCCTCTAATCAATCATTTTTTCTCTACACCAGCTGTCCAGCCATAAAATCAAGCTCCATAAACCAGCTATCAGATTCAACAAATCCGCTTTCTTATTTTGCACATGTGACAAGGTATTTTGAGCCAAAGTTTCTCCTGAACATAGGGAAGAGAGAGAAGCGACTAGACATCGGAGTCGCCTGGGCTCCAAACCAGTTTACTACAGTACATGTAGCATTTCTTTGGTCATTCAAATCGGATCCACTTGATTGGCACACAATTACAGTCCATAACGAATTGGGATCTGCTCCTCACAGGCATATCGCATCATGCATTGGGAACATTTCCGTAAATAATAACACAACTGCGTGAGATGTTCCCATTTGTGAGCACCATGTATGAGGAGCAGATCCGGTCTCATTCATAACATCCAAATGTCGCCCACCTTGTATTGGTGGTTTCACAACTAATATCAGTTTCAATCTTCAAGGTAAATTTTTTATACATGCTCTGGGGTTTATGACCTCCTCTTGGTTTGTACCAAGGTTCCATTTATTGGAAAGAATCGGAATCCCATTCCTATTCCCAGTGGAATGGCATTTTCCTATTTGAGGAAATAGCATTTTCCCTCCCCTCCATTGGGAATGAAATCTCATTCCTTCCGAATCCAATTCTCATTCTTATTCCTATCTGAACCAAAACAGAGTAACAGATTATGAGAACAGACCATTCCGATTTTGATTCCGACTCCGGCTGCAAACCAAACGGACACTAAATTACTCAACCCTTATAAATCGGGGTTGAGTTACTTATTCCACCTCACCTTTAAAATTTTGATTGCTCTGCTTTACCATTTTATGACAAGTTCTTGTATATCATATGAACAAAAATACCCGTGTACATTTTTTAAGGTTCAGTCTGGAAAGAGTACAAATACCAAGGTTTTTAAAATCAAACCGGACAACAAACCAGTCAGGGGTCCAGTTCCTGGGTCAAATGGTCCAACATTCAAACCGAACGAACGGCCCATTCTGACAAAAAATAAAAAATAAAAAAAAAACATCCAAAACCGTTGGATGGTTTGAATGGTTCAACCATCCGGATCAGCGGTTTGCTGACCAAATCAACAGTTTTTGACAAAATAACGGTTTTGGGGTAAAATGGTACCAATCACCTGACTGGTTCCCGATTTTTCTAGTCCAACCATCTGGTCTGGTCCGGTTTTGAAAACCATGACATACAAATATGTACAATTCAAATACATACAAAATACACCGATTTGCACTCTACATATTTGTACTCCTCCCAAACAGGGACAAATAGATGTTAACGTGGGCATGAAAAGTTGGAAATAGGTTTTGAAAAAATTAAAAAATAAATAAATAACTAAATAAAAATTGAGATGGTAAAACTATACTTAATGCTAATAAATGTGGTTAAATTGGCATTTTATTAAGAGCAATATGGTAAAGTACTATTTTTCTATCTTAATTCCATCTCTTCCTTTAACAAACCCCCCATATTTTTTGTATTCACGTGGTTAGAAGTTAATGGGTAAACCTGAGGAGAGGTCTTGGTACTTGAGCAAAACCCCAGGGGGCACGGGGGAGGTATAAGTTACCCTGATTTTTAGTATAAAAACTTGTATCCTCATGTTAAGTTATGCTTTTTCGTTTTTTTTTTTTCTCGTAGAAGGGGAAGATCCCCCCAGTTAAAGGAAAAATAAACCACTGTTTGTTTTCTCGGAAGCCAATTAGCCAAAAACACGCGTTTTTTTTGTCTTAATTTGCCTCTTTTATCAAAAAAGGGGTGCATCCAAATCACTCTCAAACAATAAACCACAACATCCATCAAAAAAATGAAACAATAAGACACAAGATATCTTTTTTTTGATAGATAATAAGACACAATATATCCCTACATACCATGGAATTTATTTAGTAGTTCAAACGATAAAAAAGCATAGAAGAGTCAACAACTTCAAACGGAACAATGACAGGACCTTTAACATAGATCACCATACTACAACATGACAATGTTGGACTAAGGAAGGTAAACATAGTTGATTGTAACTGCAAATCATAATGGTAATGGGAAGCCAGTCCAGCTTAGTAGCTTACCATTGATGAACAAACAAGCCACTACTTCTGAGGCCGTCGAAGAGGCCGTTGCAGTCTCCGTGTGTAGAGGTAGAGCCTTGGTCATCAGCACCCTCAGAGCAATGAAGGAAAAGTTCATCAACGAGGCATATGGCTCCGCTTTCAAATAATTCAAAGAGAAGCTTCAACTCTATCCCTCTCGCATTCATCCTTAGAACCACAAAATCCTCAGCTGTCACAGTGTCTTTAAACCACACAAGAAAATCAAATCCATCATCTGACAACGGGGTCAAATCTCTAACACGATTAGCAGTGACCTTATTCTCAGCCAAGCCTGGGTGGTAAACAAAAGTAATACCAGGTTTCTTCACATAGGAAGAGAGGACAGATATATCATGGTCGACAATGTAAACATTAAAGGCTCGAGACTGTGCGGGATAGAAGGATAGAGAGCCGTTCATAATTCTGGATTTTATGGATTCCCCTGCTCCTACATCAATGTAGATTAACTTGTTCCTAGAAGAGATATCCATGAAACTCGATAAATAGGAAATATTTCTATCAGCTCCTGCATTTTCATCAGCGATAGGCTCTAAGCATTCCATGAAAGGCTTGTTGTTCGAAACAGAAGGGCATTCATCAGGGAGTTGGTAGTTTTTCAAAGAGCAGGCACCCTCAAATCTTTTCTTGAATACGACCAGCGTAAAGTAATTGATTCTGCGCGCTTGGATGACATTGGAACTTTTCAGGAAGGAGGAAATGGGGGTAGCCGATTTTATCAGACCACCAGCATTAGAACTAGTGATATCCACAAGCACAGATCCAACGCCACCTGGTCTTAAAACACGCTCAATCTCGAGCACGAGAAGAGCAGGTACAGATACCCTATCGAGAGCTCTGGAAAAAACAAAATCGAAAGAATTGTCCTTGAACTCCAGCTCGTAAGTAAAACTTTTCCTCATCAGAGAGAAAAACAAGTGTCTTTCGACACCAAGAGCATCTGGGAACCCTAATTCCCGTAGAGCAGAAACAGCCAAATCTGATCCTTCCCCAACACAGAGAGCTTTTGCACCATATTTCAACAATTTCTTCCCAATCAGCTCTCTAAACAGATCAACTGTGAAATTTACGTTCTCTTTGCACGACGCCGATGGCGGCAATATAAAAGGGTACACAGGCTTCAGAAACCGTTCCGGAAACAAATAAGTGGAACCAGCAATATCACGGGAACAGTCATTGGAGTTGGGAACAAAGAGGCCAAGTGGCTCCGCGTCATCGTGAAAGAAGTGCAGGAACGGTAAGATAGTTATAACCGTTGCGAAAAATAAAACACGAAGCAGCACCCGTCTAACTAAGGATCCATGGAAGAATTGCAATTTCAAATACTCAAAAGCCATTGCTTTCTCCTTAATTTCTGACAGACAATGCATAAAGAAACCAGATCTTTGGAGAAGGATTACCGGAGAGTGACCAGAAACTATCTCGATCAGCGATAGGTGGGTCTCGGCAAGATAAAATCGAGGTTGGAAGCAAACAATAGTAGATCTAGAAGAGAATACGAAATCAAGCCAGACAAAAGTAGAATGTGAGAGATTAGCGAGTGCAAAACCTGGAGGAGGTGTGATTTCCACCCACGAGGACGCCCAGAGATTTTTGGAACCCTAACCAGACCCTCCTCGGAATCCTTTTCGGCATTGAATCGTACCAGATTGGAACCATCTTCAGCGGACGAGATTGCATTTTTTGAAGTCTCTACATTCCTCCTTGGAGAGATCCACCAAAGCAAAGAAGAGGAGGTGAATTTCAGATGGTGAAGCAGAAAGCCCTCCCAAGTCCCTACATTACTCGCTCTAGGGTTTCTTCCAAGGCCAAAGGGGGGAAGGGAAGGACGAGAGAAGCGAGAGACGGGTGGATCTAGGGATACTGAGAGATTCCCATAAGCATGAAATATAGCTATATGAGATGAGAGAGTAATAAGTGAGTGCTGTGAGAAAAAAGAGAGTGATATGCGGTGTTACCCCAAGGTCCAGACACCGAAACGTCTAATCACCATTAATTTAAGATTAAACACGTGAAGATGTTAAAGCTCTAACTTATATGCAACTTGAACTCGGTAGAATATAAAGTCGCTGATTTTTCATTTTAGAACGATATTGACAAAGTCCATGTATGTCGTACTATTATAAGATTATGCCAAAATTTTATATCTAATAATAAATTTATAATTCATTATCTCTTATCTAGAAATCGCTAAGTTTATGAATTCGGATTACATGATCGAATGAGATATACAAGTTTATTTTTTTTATGCTCAAAAGATCGCACTCTCACTAAGAACAAAAATTCATCTAGATGTGGACTTGTTATCTCCATTACCGATAATCCAACTTGCATCAGTGTACCCTTCTAATACAGCTTGATAATCAGAGTAAAACAAGTCAAGTTCCAAAGTTCTCTTGAAATATCCAAGAACTCTCTCAATTGCCTTCCAGTGCTCTGCACCGGGATTACTTGTAAACCGATTGAGTTTACTTACTGCAAATGCAATATCAGGTCAAATACAAAGTATAACATACATCAAACTTCCTACTGCACTAACATACTCAAGTTGTGCAATTACTCTACTAGCTTTATACTAGAATCATAAGGCGTGCTATATTCTTTAAACCCTAAATGCTTAAATTTCTCAACTACTTTCTCAATATAATGTCATTGGCTTAACGCATAACCCGTACTATGCTTTTTAACTTTTATTCCTAATATGGTATCTATTTTTCCTAAATCCTTCATCTTGAAGACAGAGGATAAGTAATTTCATTTATGCCAACCATATTTGTACCCACAATAAGCGTATCATGAACATAAAGACATATAATTACTCCATAATTTTCAGTGAATTTTAAGTAGATGCATCTATCAGCACTATTATGTTTAAAACCAAAAACTAAAATGCAAGAAACAAATTTCTCATGCCACTATTTAGGTGCTTGTTTTAATCTATATAGTGATTTAACCAATTTACAGACTTTCTTCTCATTTCCAAAAAGAACAAATCCTTTTGGTTGTTTCATATAAACCTCTTCATTTAAATCACCATTTAATAAAGCAGTTTTAACATCCACTTGATGAATAGATAAGTGATAAATGGATGCTAATGTTATGAGTATTCTAATAGAAGTTGTTCTAAGGATTTTAATTTTCTTTTATAGTTGATTTTCAACATCAGTCTTGTACAATTTAAATATGTCAAAGGCTTCATCCTTAGTTCTCATAAGGTAGACATAGGTGTACCTAGAAAAATCATCTATAAATGTTATGAAATATCTCTTACCTCCTCTACTTAATACACCATTGAGTTCACAGATGTCATAATGAATTATTTCTACAAGTTGAAAATTTCTCTCAACACTAGGGAAAGGTTTCTTAGCCATTTTAGATTTTACACATATCTCACATTTTTCAGTTAATTCATTACTGTAAGCAATTATACCAAGTTTGCTCATGTTCTTTATGGATTTAAAATTCAAGTGTGATAATCTATCATGCCATAAAGAAAAAGAATCAAGAAAATAAACAAAAATTTTTCCTTCATTTGAACATATCATTACAACCATATCACTTTCCAACAAACATTTCATTTTTGGATATGATTTGTTTGTCGGATTCAAAAGCAACTTTGAATCCCCTCTTACAGACAAGATTTACTGAGACCAAGTTCTTTCTAATGTCAGGAACATGGGGAACATTCAGGAGAGTCAGTATCTTTCCGGAGGTGAACTTCAACTCTAAGCTGCCTCTTCCATCAACTTTGGCACACATTTGGTTTCCCATCTATACTTTCTAGCAATCAATCACTTTTTCATGTCTTGAACAAGGACTTGTCCTTGCAAACATGGACTGTGAAGCCTAAATCAAACCGTCATCCAAAAGACAATTTTGTCAAATTGACTTCACTAATCATGGCCACTAGATTGTCTTTTACCATGTTTGCAGACTTGGTTCCGTCTTTCCGATGTCAGCAAACTCGGGCATAATGCCCCTTCTTTCCACAAACATATTAGGACCCTTTCTTATTGTTGCTATTCTTGAAGTTCTCATCCTTCTTCTTTACTTGTAATGCAGGGTTAGTCTTCTTCGATCCGTTTTTCACAAAATTGACCTTAGAGTTTAGCATACCGGCCAGGGTCTTATCCCTACTATTTCTAATCCGAGACTCTTCTTCAATACAAAGATGTTGCCAAATTTGCTCCAAGGTAAATTCTTCTGCCTTGTGCAGAAGCTTCTTCCTGTAATCTTTCCAAGAGGGTGGAAGTTTGGCAATGATTGCTCCCACTTGGAAAGATTCTAGAGGATGATGTCAAGGGATCGAATTTTGTTAACTATTACATGTAGTTCATGAACTTGCTTCAGTATGGGTTTATAGTCGTTCATGGTGAAGTCAAAGTATCATACAATAAGATACTTATTCGAACATGCTTCTTGCACATTGTATTTGAATTCCAGGGCCTTCCAAATTTCTTTTGGAGATGTAAGTTTCTTGTAGAAGTTGTAGAGTCGATCTGATAAGGCATTCAGTATGTGTCATCGGCACAGAAATGAGTCATGTTCTCATTTTTCTCTTTCCTTCTTTAGTTTTTCTGAGTCTTTGTCAGTGGGTTCAGGAAGTAATTGCAAATTCGGGTCCATCAGACAGTATAGTTTTAGTGTGGTCAGAAAAAATATCATCTTGTTTTGCCATCGGCTGAAATATGCTCCACCGAATTGGTCTAGTCGAACAAGATCTTGGTTCATCATCTTAATCGCGTCTGAAGACACTATCTTTAGAACATTATTTTCCCCCACTCAGTTTCACTGAGTTTGTTGTTGGGTTACAGGCAAATCCATTCACAGGATACAACAGAGCCTTGGGCGAGAATCTACAACCAACAAAGTTGAAGAATCTCCGAAGAAACCTTCTATGATACTGTAGCAAACCAGACTATGATAAAGAGAGAGAAAGTGAATTTCGAAAATGTGTGTTTTTGAAGTATGATTCATGCTCCTTAAAAAGTAGTTAACAGTTAATGACTGTTAACTTTGAATTGTACCTCTTGATCATACCCAATCGAATCGTGACCGTTGATCAATGAGATCAACGGTCAACATCGCACCAAAGCCAAAGCCGCCCTTCGCGAGCCGCGCGAAGTGCAAGCAAAATGCGCTTCATTGCGCTGTGTACACGCGCGCATATGTGTATGCGGTATCAAACCTCCATACTCTCCTCTACTATTTCTAAGGAGTGTAAATCAACTCCTATTAAAATACTAAAAATTAATTTTCCAAACAACTAAAAATTCTAAGGAGTGTAAATCATACCCAATGTGGGACAAGTTTAAAACTGGGTTTTGTAAGAGAAAAAATTAATTTTCCAAACAAGTGTGCAAATGCAATTTCTCATGTAATTGTCCAATCAAACCCATTGGATTTAATTTCTTATGAGATTAAAATCCAACATTGTCAAAGCAGATGGCAAGCAAGAAGAGGCTGGTGTTATCAAGCCAACGAAACCCGAATGCAAAGTCTCTGGAAGGAGAAGGCCAAGAAGTGATGTCATCACCGACGATAAGAGATTTTCCCAAAGTTACATTACTGTAGGCTTGAACTGTGGTACCATGTGGTAAAAGAAGCAGCAACAGTAAGAGGCTTGCAATATGAAGAAGAACAGCATAATCCATTGGAAAGTGCCATTTGGTATAAGCTAGCCTACATGCTACTCGATTAATAAATGGAACGAAAGGAGTTTGGAATGGAGTGAGAGACAAATCAATTGACCGCTTCTCGGTTTCTCTACCGTAGTCGAGGAAAACTTCAAGGAAGAAGCCTATAGACCAAAAACCCTATTGATTAATTGTTGGGTTCTTGTCGAAATTCGTAGGTAAGAGACGTAGAGTAAAGCCCGGTCTTTCATACTGGTTGTACTAGTATGTGGCGGCAATCCATTCATCAGTGTCGCCACCACTTTTGCCTCCGCCCACCTCCAGCAATGTTGTCGGAGGCAGAGGTGGTAATATTGGGCAGAGGTGGGCGGAGGTAGGTAGAGGCATTGTCAAAGGTTGTCGGATGTGGCAGCGGGCGGCAGCACTGATGAATGGATTGTAAGATGAAGAAGATGAACAGTATTTTTTATTTAATTGATATTATTTTTAAAAAGTCAATCTATTTTTTAAATTTTATTAAAAATATTAGTTTTATTGATATTTAGGCCTAAAAGTTGCCCTTATCATCTATAATCCCTTTAAATAAAATATGACTTCTTGATGGGGCCACAAAAGTCCATGTAATGTAAAGTCACGATTTTCTATTTTAGTTATGTCCTAAACAAAAATTAGAGGTGCCATGGGCGGCCCGTGCAAAGTGCGGGCCGTGTCGTACTGGCCTGTGTGCCGTTATGGGCCATACCGCTCTCCCCGGTGAATAATTTAGGGGTCGTCCCGGCACGGCCCATGGCCCAGGCCTGTGTTGTGCCATGTCGTGCCGCAGGCCAGGCTGGCCTGTGGGTCGAGCCTTGGCCTGGTTGGGCCTTGCATCAGGCCAAAGCTATTTATTTAAAAAAAATTGACAAAAAACTTAAAATTTTAGTTTTATATGAATTTTGTGTATACCATTGCTTATATATACAATAATTAAATAAAGTATAATAAAATTAAAAAAATATTTAGTTTATTAAAATATTATATACTATATATTATTATATAATTATGATTTATATAAATATATATAATATATATGGATCGTGTCGGGCCGAGCTGCGGGCTGGGCCATATCGGCCCATGGACCTAAAACCCCAGGCCCACATGTCAGGCCTGGAATGGCTCGCGGACCGCAATGCCAGGCCATGGGCAGCACGACCCAATTTACACCTCTATAAAAAATGAATTCGAAAATAAATAGTAGTGACTAATGAGTGAGAATAGAAAGCTCAAAGAATCAGCTACGCC